GTCACTGCATTTATTAACTCTCTGCCCCAAACTTTAATTTGCAACATTTACTTATATTTTTATGGAACTCATTTTGCTTTTGCCAAATTCTTGATAAAACCTGTAATTTACTGATTGTTTGACACTGTATAACCAGTGTGGCTATCATAAAAAAAGGCTCACATTTTAAAAGCACTTTATTTCTTTGAGTGAAAATTATGCAGCAATGCATTATTTGAAGATATTATCCCGTTCTGCTTCATTTCATTCGTTGGTGCTGAACACAGTAATTAGTGAGGAAAAGATTCCTGCAGAATTCCCCCCTTTGTGTTCCTAATGGCTCTGGCAGGCTTGTGTTGCAGTGGGACATTCCAGTCCTGCTCTATCATAAAAACCACTTGGCTGGAAACACCTGGTGAAGGTGCACAGCAGTTCCTGCTAATAGAAGGCTGTGGAGGAACACACACAAGTGCCTGACCTGCCTGTGTGTCTGTCAGTAACCCTGTAGGCTATCAGTTTGGCAGCAAAGGGGTAACGATAATGTCTGGAATGTGTTTATGTTCATGGAACCTGGTCAACTCAAACAGGCAGCATGAAAGCCACCTCTCTGTTTTTAGGTCCACAGAGATCCTGTGGGAGTTAATCTCCTTCAGACTGGTAGACAGAAACTGGAGTCATCCTGAGCTCAGAACAGAGTCATGAGTCAACAGATGTAGCCGAGCACAAAGGAACTTTTCTCTGCTTTTTGTCTCGTCTTTCTCTGAAGCATCTGTTCTTCCTCTCTGTGCCTACTTACTCTCTCCTCCTTCAGTCTTGTCATTATTTTTTATTTTTATAGGAGCATCTCTGTGGTTAATGGAAGGCCAGCCAAACATCTGGAGTACATTCCTTATGCTTTTACATATATGTTGCAACAGAGCCAGGTCAATGGCTGCATCTTCTATAAAGGGAAGCAGAATTAGATTTTGAAGCCATAAAACATTTTTTTAAACACAAACGTCCTATCAAACCTAATAAGTTATTGCAACACACTTACACAAAATTTTCCTTTTGATTCACCCCTTGTAAAACTGAAACACTATTATAGAGACAATGTCACAGCATCTGCAGCATTGATGGTACATGTTACAGTTTATATTTTCTTGACAAAAAGGCCTTAGTAACATTGAATATGTTGAACATGCTTCCTGTTGATGTTAATGACACTAAAAACACACAACAAAAACACTTTCTCTACCAAGACACTTTTTGCTCAGAATTTAAGAAATAACTGGAATCCTGAAGCTGAGGGATGAGTTCATGCCATAATTACTACATTGCTTCAACAGCCAGACCAATAAAACAACCGCTTGTGTTGTTTCTTGTGAACCAGCAGTTACCGAAAATATCCACTATGTGGCAGCCTTGTAAAGCTCAACATACAATCAGGAGGGTGGGGTGTTTTATGAACAGCTAATCTTAACAAGTGGAGCTAGAAGCTAATTTGACCACAGTTTGCTTAATAGTCAAAGGAGAAAAAAATCTGCAGCAGGATGAATCTGAATGTACAAGAAATAAAAAAAATCAAAATAATTACAATCACCTGTCTTTCTGCTTCTTGTTAAGTTTACAATATAAAAAAAAAAAAACATAAATAAATGAATAGTCTCTGATTTCTCTCTGAGCGAAATGTTTGGTCCAAACATTATTTTGAATGTAATCAAGACAGGCTGCAAACTGGAATGCTGTAGATGTTAGAATTGCTGCCCCAAGTTCCTGGGATGGATGGATGGATGGATGGATGGATGGATGGTGAGATTGTGAAATTAATAGGCACTAGTGATTCTGCTAAAATAAACAACAGGAACCAGAAATGATATTAGAAAAAGAAAGCTCATATTTTATGCTATATTATATTTATCTAATAAGCCACTAATTAGACAGCTTGAGACTTGAGGCTGTCTAACCATGAATTGTGTGTGTGTGTTAAACAAAGACTCCTCAGTCTAACTTTCCCCTTACCCACTACCCCCCACTCCTCATTTTGAGTCGTCCTCTCACATTCACCGTTCAGTCAGTGAATGACCATGACCCAATACAATGACCCACTACAATCCTGCTGCTGCTGCTCAGCAGCATTGACACTCAAGAACACACATCTCCACTGCCTCCCACAGGCCAGCACATGTTCTATAAGTGTCCACAAAGAAGATCATTCAGCCCAGCGAAACATATTTTCTCTTCAAACATCGTATTAACTGGCCAGTGGTGAAAGCTGCAAACAGTGTTGACAGTCAGTTATCAGTGTAGCTTTTACTGAGATTCTATTTTCTTTCATTAACACTTTGAATGAATCACAACAATATGCCTCCTTACGTTCTTCAAAAAAAAAAAATAATAATAATAACAGCCTCTCCAATTACTGAACATTTGAAAGTTGAAAAAAAACTGAAAAGAAAAAATTTACTTTGAGTTTAAAATTAAAGCAAGCAGCAGTTAAATGTTTGTGAGGCAGTTTGATGCCACATACTGCAGTGCCAACCAGCCGTTACGTTTATAGATCTACTTCTGAAGAATAGCTGGGGCCCAAGTTGGCATTGGCATATGCTGGCATGCAAGTGAGATTACAACAGATGAAACATAAACTGTAATTTTTACATTTTGGCAGTAAAAACACAACGTTCTCTTTGTACCAGTCTATTTGCTCTTAAATACATGAAGCAGTACAAGTTTGGCTTTGAAACATTTAGTTTTATGTTATTTTAGGCTTTTCCATTTCATTAATAAATGTGTCAAACTTCTGTGAATGCACAAAGTAGAACTGTTTTAGATTACTTGCCAGAGATGGTTGACTCAGAAAACTTTTCAGCAAACTCTTTTGGAGTTAAGGACTCTGCTGAATTCTGAAAAGGTGTATTGCATATTTTTGTCTTACTGATAAGACTGTCGATGTGATATATTGTCTAGTAAGACCTAATCTTGGTATAATTATGCATGTGCTAACACTTCTCTGTTATACACAGTGTAGGAAGACTGTTAGAAAATATGCTCATATACAGAAGAGGTGAATGACTGAAACTGGTATCTGATTTTCCTAGCCTCTGAAATTAAAGGGCTATTGTTTTGCTGTACTATTGTTTTCATAAAAAAAATATTATTTGATGTGCAGCTCTAGTACAGACAAATAAATATTATTCTACACTGTTGAGAGGTTCTTTTAACTCAGATGGTAGTGTCTCACAAAGTAAGGGATCATACTGTAAACGATAGCTTGCCGGTTTAAAGCTCTGTCGATCTTAGTCACCTTACCATTCTGCCCATGTGCAAGATAGTTCACTCGTTTTGTGATTGACTGACTGAATAGCAGCCTCACTTTTGTCAGTCTGTCATAGGACAGGTGTGGCTATAATGTAGCTTATCGCAATCAGTAAGTGAAAGTGTCTGAAAGGGTGAATGATGCTTTGGAGTCCTCAGATTTGATAAGGAGCAATATGAAGGTCATCTTCAGTTACTTGTATATCAGAAAAGAGAGCATAAATACTCAAATATGTGAGCGAAGCAAGTGGAACAATTTTACAGATTTCCCTGATGTCCACTCAAACTATACAACCACTGCATGAAACAAACTCTGAGCTGACCTCAACTTCAGTTTGAGGCTCCTGCAAAATAAGTTGCACGAACAAGATGTTCAAGCTGCTCGATGTCTGATGTAACTGGAGATCTGGGTTGTAACTTACTCTTCTGATGGCATGCTTTTCAACTTGCTGATTTAGTAGTGACTTACTAATCTAACAAGATTTAATTATTCTCCATGTTATTTATATAAAACCTTTACCTACATGGAAATTCCTGCACCAAACAAAGTAAAATACTTTTACAGATAATTCTACAGATGGATTGGGATTGTAGTAAATAATGCAAGTGTGTTTTTTCACACAAACACTGTCATTTTGAGTTCTAATTGTTGCTAACTAAAAAATATGCTGGAGACACTTCAGGAGATGTCACTCTTTAAGATGAATGTAAACACGCCATCGTGAATATAAGTAATATGGCAGACCTGCTACAGAGAGTGTTGTTTCAAATCCATAAGGATGGTTTTATATTTTCATCCTGCTGCATGTCCAAAACTATCATTTATCAGGCTAAAAGTACCCTTTTAAATAGTGACTTTTAAGCAGATATTAAACCAACTTTATATTAAACACACGTTACTATCTTAAAAATATTTTGTTTATTAATCTGGAGTTATATTCTTCTTTTAAGTGTCATATTTTCATTAACCATAAGCAGAAAAGTATTATATCTAAGAACTAAATGCATAAACATAACTGAGCACAATTAGCTATGTGTTTCACTTAGTGAAATTAGTTTCTGAAAATAATTAACATTCTAATAATATTATAATTCTAATTTCGACCTGCAAATATGAATTAGACTGTGCTATAACCTGGTACAGCATATAGGTTTGAGCTGCACATTGTCCCTTTTTCAAACAAAGTTTACTATTGTTATTTCTTTGAATGGATTTGTATGCATTACTTCAAAAATAAAGAATGTTACAGAGTTGTATAGAAAGATTAGCTTCAAGATAGACGTTTTCTGTTTTCCCATCTATGGCCAGGTTTTAGATAAGATAAGCAACTTTTTGTACCTCTTTCTTTCCTGTTTGTTTGATATTTTTCCATTCAAAAGCTTTCATGAGCAACACTTTTTCTCAGGATAAAACAATCACTTTCTCACAATAAAATGCTTAAAAGTCATTTATTAAGCCAGGTTATTTCTTTAAACTGGCTTAATAACTATAAAAAAACAGAATATTCTATTTGTAAAAAATGTAGTCTTCAAAAATGTTGTGTGTTTGTCAAAGAGAAAGGTGTGTGTGAGAAAGAAGCAGTTCAGGAACAGGTGACTATCTCTAGGCATACAGACTGAACCACACAAACACACACCACACACTTCTTACACACTGAAACTAGATAATAAGCTCATAATGCAGAGCAAACAGAAGTACACTCTCACATTTGTTTTCCATCAAAGCTCCTGTTACTGTAGAATGAACTAAGACAAAATACCATCACATGGATCATGGACATTTTGCAGAAATTAATTAATGCAGTTCTTCACACAGTGAGTATGGAATTTCGCTGCAGTGTTTGGAAATTCTGTAATTAGAGGAAATTAATCTTTGGCACTTTAAATCAAAAGAATAGTTCTTGAACCAAGAAGTGGAAGAACATTTTTCCTCCTCACCTGACAGTAAGAGTCATGACCCAATTTTGCTTGGCTGCAAATGAATGCAAAGAATGATTGACTCTTGTATGCATCGTCTTTGGATGGACACTTTCTTTATTTCCTTTTGATAATTACAGAGGATGTGTGTTTTGTACTTATAGAAGGATTAATAAATATTAGATTTCAGCAGACCATCAAACTGGAACCTAAAGCTAAGTTAAGTCAACAGCTGCATGAGTCAAATTACAAAGCCGTTGGATCCAGTGCAGCACAGAGAAGGCCTTCTTTTTTCTGCCAGAATAAAACTTGGCCTGGCATACATTTTCCTATCCAACTACATATTGATATTTATGGCCATTTCATAAACAACTGGGTCAGTACAGTTGGACTTGAAGATTTTCTACACAACCTTTGTCAACACAGAGAGACAATGAACCTGAAGTGCATCCAATACTAAATGAGCAAAGGCTGTCATGGACAAAGTGGACAACACAGATGATAATAGACCAGGTGAGTAAATGTTGATTTTGACTCTTTGTCAGACTGATTTGTGGGAAAATGCCAGTGGATAAGTGCCTGAGTTTGTTTTGATTAAAGGTCCACAGAGTAGGATGTAATGGCATCAAGTGGCAAAGGATCTTAACTTATCAAAGCTACACAGACATGGCCCTGCAACGCCCAACTGACGGAAATATACGTATATTTAACTATTGAAATAACCCTAAAAGATATTGCTAGTAGCTTGTATAGCAAAAGAGAAAATATCAGAAGTAACTCGTCTATTATGTTTCTTTACTGTGTTTTTGTTTAATTATTTTTTTCTAAAAAACAACTCAATCAGATTGTATGGAAGACAACTTTCCTTTTGTGATTTCTCTAATTAGGTGTAGGTATAGACTTAGACTGGGGAATTATGCTTCACTAAAGTGCTCCTACAAATGCCTGAGCCTTCACAGAACAGATGTTCCTAATCTGAAATTAAATTATCAGCTGTTGTCTGATTCTTGGATGAAGTCCACATTTTTTAGATTGTTGCTCTAAAGACATAAAATCATGTAATTTTCCTTCAGAGCCTTTATGCAAATCTTTGTATTTGTCTATCAGATAAAATGTCTACAGAATGCATTGATGCTAATAGTTGCATTGTGACAAAATGTGGAAGAATTCCAGGGGCATTCATACACCTGCAAGCCACAGTATATAACTAGCATATTAGCATCTAACATGCAATTATAAGCTTATTCCATAATTATGTTTTTCTTCATCTTTCATTCTTAAAGCAAAAGTTTCTTGAATGTTGAGCATTCAATACATTCACTTTATCACCTGTATCACCATTAAGACAATCACCTGGTACCCATTATTTACTTACTTACATTTAATTTGGCATTAGCAGGAATATTAAACGCAAGTTAACAGGAAAACCTCTGCAATAGGATACACTGATGCATGCAAATGATTTATATTTTTTCTCAAAAGCAGTTATAATACATGCATTTACAAAAGAGCAAATACAGAAAGTTGTAAACAAAATTAAACTGAGACAGAACCTAAATAATATCCCAGAACCACAAAGACTAAACAACACTGATGCTGCAATGTTGAATTTATATACCCAGCTGTCAAAACAATTATGCACAATGGATTTTCAAGATGTTACAGTTCCATCAGGAGAATGTGCAATACTTTTTGCACATATGACAGTTTCAAGCTTGTCATATTGGACATTTCTCTTCAACTATTTGCTTTAACAGTGTTTTTCCTTGTAACTCTTAGACTTTCGAAGCTAAGCAGACACTGAAATCCACTTAATTGTTCAATGGACAGGAGTGACAAACTCTCTTTATCTTGAAATAATTACCACATTGAATAAGTCTAAGGTTGCTCAAGAGTCAAGTTATTCCTTTCCAAATATTATCAAAACCCCATAAGTCATTGACTATAAGTCTAAAAATTGTCCAATAAGAACAAAAATCTTTGGACAATGAGTCCATCAAAGTGCTTCCTAACCCAATACCTGTCACCTCAAAAACATGTGCAACTTCCCCTGCAGAACAAAAGTGGCCCAATTAAAAGGCTGGGATTACATATCTAAAAATATAAGAACATAAACATGATGGTGAAGATAAAAAAAATGATTTTAAATGTAGGACCAGCTGTTGTAGATTGTACACATTTATAAGTGAGCAATTAATCTTAACTTCTACTTTATGACCTTGTGAGTTGATGTTAGGAGAACAACTCTGACAATATTCTCCCTTGTTTGGCCACTGATTATGATGTAAGATCATCATCTCTTAAGTGGAGCAGAAATTAAAGCAGGAGTAAAGAGGATGAGATGTGGAAAAGAGAGGAACAGCATGTACAGATGAGTTGAAAAAAAGAGAGCGAGAAGAGCTATATAGCAAATTCTGAATATAGGTAAAATCCAATTTCTCTGTAAAATTGACAGATAGTTTGGAGCTGAGATGAAAAAGGAAAGCAAAGATGTAGACCATGTGTCCATACACACTGATGCAAAAAAGATATTCTGACGTAATTGTGTGTAGAAGAAGAGATAGGAAGGAGAGCACAGACAGACTCCCAGTCACTAGACCACCTTTTTGTGATTTGGGATTTGAGTGACAGCTGGAGCGCATGTACAGACGAACACACTGCACTTCTTGTTGGTGGCGTTAGATTGGAAGCAGATGTTGACTCTGCTACTGTTAGCAGTTTTGTTGACTGCCTGACTGTTTTACTGGTGCTACCAGCTCACCCACTTCACTGAAATACCTGCTGAGCTCATGTAGATCTACCTGAGCCACTATTCATACATTTAATGTAGTTGTGTTCAGTGCCTTGTTTGAACCTATAAGGCTGCAATTTCCAAAAGTAAAAAGGTTAAGATTAAAAATTTCCCTTCCAAGTTATGTTTGGTGAAAGAAAGAGTTTCTGATAGCTTAACACAGCATCTGATAGCAAAGCCCAACATTTATTATTGTCTATGCTTTAGTTAGAGGTTAGAAATAAGGAAAAAATTAGTTTGACAACCAATTTTACATTTGTCAAGTATCTAGTTGATGCAGAAATATATATTAAACTGCCTCAATTGCTTATAATGGTCAACACAATCTTGGATCCAGAGACCCTTCATCTGTCTATGTGGGTGTAGACTCAGTTTCAGTTTGATGTAAAACTCATTTATTTCTGCTTAGACAGGTTGACTAATCAGTCTGTCTTACTGACCGTCACCTTCACGCTGCCTGCATACAGCGTCGCCTCCAGGCAACCAGTGGGAACCTAGAGCATTGCACTCCCTCACTGGCATTCATTCATTCATTCATTCATTCATTCATTCATTCATTCGAACACAAACTTTCAAACCCCACAGCAGCATCGTTATCCACTTTCAAAATGTTTAAAAATATCAAAAATCGGTCAGCTTTTTACTCCCTAGAGCAAAACATTAACAGCAGCATCATTTTGCAAAAGATCAAATAAAAAAATAGGTTTATTTATTGGCCCTCAGATCGAAACATGAACATATTAAAGTTATTGGTAAAAACAAAAATAGACAAAAAAAAACGCAATAACCACTTGACCTGCAATCGGTATATTCTGAAAAGATTCATACTTTTTTAAGCTGCACAAGAGTTTCTCCTTGTGCAAAAAGCGTTGGTAAATGATACTAAAATGGTCTTAGAATGTTCCCCGTTTTTCGACAGATTATTAGCACAAATCTCTCTCGGTCTGTCAGAAACGTCCATGCAACAGGCGACATTCTCCCATACAGACTCCTCTCTGCTCCCCACCTTCCCATTTCCCCCGGATCCGACAAACCCGCTGACTCACCTGGGGACGCTGATGCCAGGACAGGACGCACCGCGGACCGGCGGATGGGAACGGTAAGCCTGGCAGCACCGAGGTTCTTCACCTCCGGCAAAAAAAGCAACTTGCACACAACAACAAAACGGTTCCCCGGGTCAGAGGCCGAAAGGTCGCGGTTCAGACGATCCCAAACTTTAGTCAGAGGAACCCTTGCCGTTCAGTGAGGAATGAGCGCTTGGACGTGAAAATGCGCTCGAGGTCTAAACTCTCATTTAGGAACCGATGGAATGAAGGAGTTGAGTTGAGTTGAGGTATTAGGATGCCAGGAGAAAATTAGGGGAGGGGGAGACCGCACCCCCTGCTAAAATCCGAATATCTGTGAGAGCTGAGGAGAGTTTGGAGCAGAGGTGAGCCAGTACACCAATCGTTTAGGATGTTTAATCTTTCTTGTCCTCAAACAAAGTAATACATTTAAATTTCTCTACGTTCTTACATCTTATTAGATTTATGGATGCTGGCTTAAATTAATTTATGACAAAGTATATCAAATTTGTGTCATTTCAGGTTAGACACTGGTCAGGTTCTGGTGCAAACTCTGTTTTGGAGGAACATTATGGTTTTACAATCTGAAACTCGTCCAATTGAATAGCCCTAACATCAGTTGAGTTATGCATGCTTGTATCACTAAAACTCTTGACTGGAGCAACAAGTGCAGCAGAGTATTTACTTTTTGGAGGAAGGGGGTTGTTCTCTCCCTCCCCCACTCACTTTGTTCTCAGCCCATTCAGTGATTCTCCTGTGACATACCAGAAGGTCTGAGCTCCTAACTTACTGTTCTTTGACCTTTTGAAGAGGTTACCGTCACCTTGGTGACTGATGACACAAACAGCTACGTCCACGCAGGTTTAAAGAGGCTGAATGGGATCGCCCTCAAACATGAGTAAAATTTTGGTTATGGCTCAGAAAGCAAACATGTAAAGCAGACTGCTCACATCTGTCTGCTGGAACAGGGGAAAGGATCATTTCATTTCCTTTAAAATTAAAGAAAATTAAATGAGTCCTTATGACTTATGAAGTCATAAGTCTTTCATAAGGAGAAAGACTAATGATTTTCTCCTTATGAAAGTCAGGTTGACATTGAACATGTCAATGTTGTCCGACTTAGTGCTGTCATCTGCTCAGGTCTTGCTCTGTTTCCTTTTCTCTAAGCAGCTCTTACTGAACAGCTCTTACTGAGCAGCTCTTACTGAACAGCTCTTACTGAGCAGCTCTTACTGA